TTGTGACTTCTTTAAACTAAAATCGGCGGCTGATCATCAAATCCATCTTTTGTATAAGCATGCACCAAGATCTCCATCGGTTGGCACGGCTTTGCCTTTCAGCGGTGCGCTCTAGGTTCGGTGTCCCCAACATTATTGCCGTTCAGACTGACAAGGTTGAACGAGTATAGATCTGACATCTGCAAGAGTGAAACCTTCATATAACTCCTCCGATCTTCTTTGAAACCGGACTTGTATAGCAACGAAACTCGAGGGAAGCGAAACCTCGAGATCATACATGCAAAAATATTTTTATCATCTATGAAAATGTTTAGAACAAAATTGTTATCGTTAATGAAAATATTTTTCATTAATTAATTATTCCAAGTGATACGAAAGATCATTTTTAGGAAAACATTTTTTAAAATCATTTATTTTCCGTGAAACAAACAAAACCCTTGTCTCTTCAGATTTTCTCGAAATCAAGGATGCTTTTGGCAACTGATCATTCAATGAAGTTTATCAAAATCATTTCTGCATTGAATGTTTGCAAAAATTAATCGAGAAATAAAAAGATGCGGGGCAAGTCAAATATTCACGAAAAAACTATAGTTAAATTGTTGATATCTTAATATCAAATATTGACACTTAAGAACTCTAGCTCTGGTCTGCATTATTTTTTGGGCTAAGCCCTTCGGAAGTAAGCCCAAGTGGCTTCTTCGTTGCTCTCAAGATTTTAAGAAATTAGGCCGATAATTAAATCGGCTGATTGCGACCAATGAAATAAAAAAAAACTAAATTTTTTTATAGTTCGGAGTCATGAGCGCAAAGGCTAAGCTATCTGAAGACCCGCCGAACGCCCCGACCCGTGCAAATGCCCTTTTATTAGAGAATTTTGCACGCAGTCAATGCAATTTGAATAAGTGATCACATCTCGATTATGAGCTAGGAGTCTTCCGACGCCCCCAACTAAATGTGCCGATTCTGGAGTTAAGAAAAAGGCAAAATAGAAGGACTAACTTGGAGAGAGGGTAATGAAAATTCACGGGAGAGGTTAAATCGGCTGATTGCGACCAATGAAATAAAAAAAAACTAAATTTTTTATAGTTCGGAGTCATGAGCGCAAAGGCTAAGCTATCTGAAGACCCGCCGAACGCCCCGGCCCGTGCAAATGGCCTTTTATTAGAGAATTTTGCATGCAGTCAATGCAATTTGAATAAGTGACATCTCGATTATGAGCTAGGAGTCTTCCGACGCCCCCAACTAAATGTGCCGATTCTGGAGTTAAGAAAAAGGCAAAATAGAAGGACTAACTTGGAGAGAGGGTAATGAAAATTCACGGGAGAGGTTCAACTATTTGGATCGTTCCGCTAATTGCTAATCTATTGTTGTCAATCGTTGTAGACAATTTTCGTTTCCTCTTATTCTTCGCTCACTTGGGCTATGTCTGCCAACTTGTATCTCCTTCCTTCTGTCATCCACACGATGGCCTAACTTTCGTTCCTCCTATTTCGGCCACTCCTTCGTCTTCCTCTTTGTTTTCTTATTTTAGAGCACCAAACTAAGCTCCCTATAATTTGGCTTCCTCGCCCCCGCGCTCCATCATCTCAACTCGAATTTGCCCTAATAGACGCGCGTATCTATGGGGCTCGAGGAACCTTTTGCCTATTGCGACGTTAAAGACAGGTTATCCACGTCGTGTCGGGAGGATCCACCACGAAATATGTCTTCGTGGACTCGAAAACACATGGTGGACAAGAATGAAACTCCGATTTTCACACTTGCCAAGTTAGGGAAGTAGCGTCATTTAACCCAGTATATACCCGATTGGATAAAAGATTGGAATTTCAGTGCTCTACTCTAGGATGGATTTGGAAGTTAGTGGAGAAGCTAGAGTCTTGCATCCAAAGTCAGATTTTGCCAAAGGCGAATAAAGAAAGGCCTAACGTGGCGTGGAGGATGGTTCCTCCGTCTTATTTATGCCACGAGATTGATGTTGATAATGGCATCTTCTGGCTTTAGACCGTGTGAGCATTTGACTGGCAGAGCTAGTGATGGATGTGTGCTATTTCCCATACGGCAAGGACCATCTATGGTTCATAATTTACGTCAATAATTGGAGCTAGATTGCGGGTCCACTTAGAAATGAACAAAATAAATGAAGATGTATGTGTCTTTGCTTGAAAGTCTAACCCAAAAATTTAAATCAATAGATGAAGAAAAATTGATTACACGTGAAGAGCACATAGATGCCACTGTCAGGCAACGTGAGATATTTCAACATCCCCTCTCACGTACAAGCTGGATCAGGAGCGGTATGTGGAACTTGACTTAACGGAGGTGGACGCACACGCCAAGGGGCATAACTTAAAACTTAAGCCGAGAAATGAAGGGAAAACCACATGTATATGAAGGAGCATAAAAATGCTATTGTCAAGTAATGTAGGATATTTCAACAGTTTTCACATCTATGTATTCATAATTTATGATCCCCCTCTTGATGGCACTTGATGAATTTTTCGGACGATCACATCTGGCGTATATATAGCACCTTACTCTCGATTCTTTGTCTATTTTCGATCCCCTTTTACATATGTTTTTCTCGATAAAATATTTAAATATTAAATCAGGCCCAATTTTACCAAAATCTCCGATGAGTATCGGACCAGGAGGTTACGAGTCAACTTTCGTCCATACCCCTTATTTGCCTTCCGAGCCAAAGATTCAAACTTGCTAAGACAATCGATACCGATCTCGCAAAATTCCTGATCAGGATCAAGACAAATAACAGTTTATATGCACAAATTTGTTTACATATTCTTTGGCGACTCCTGTGCATGAATTCGTGGGTGTCATCCTCGTGGTCATCTGTATCAAACTCAACTTTTCTACTTTTCTACGTTTCTCAAAAACCGAACGAAAGCATAAAAGATTAGGAAATATTGAAAGAAAGAAAGAAAGAAAGAAAGGAACAATCAGCGAGCAACCTCGAAATTTCCACGAACGCAGCGGGCGGGCCTACCAAACCTAGCAACCCACGGACCTCCCGATCGCCCCCGACAACAAGCCCAAGGACCACGTCGACCCCCCCCCACGTCACCTCGCGGACACGTGTCGCCCGGTCCCCCTCCCGGTTGCGGGGGGAAGGTAATTTGGCGGGAAAGGAGGGGGTCGTTACGTCCACGACGGCGTCAATTGGCGGGAAACCGAAGCAATCGTTTTCATTGGTCCGCCTCGTCCCCGCCCCCCAACCCCACGCACTCAACGGCCGGACCATCTCGGGTCATCCTCCTCTCCGGTCAACACGCACGTGCGCCCACTGTTCCTTCCCCTTTCCTCTGTTCATGTCATGCCCCCCTTTTCTTTACTTTCGTTTTTAAGTATTCAGCATCCCGACATGTAATGTTATGTATGCATGCGTGCGTGCTGGTGCGATGGATGTTTCGTCCCGCCGCCGCCCCATCATGTGCTCGGCCTATTGCGGCATGGGTTTGTTCGTTTGCGATTATTGTATTCTGGATACCTTGGAAAAAACACTTGTCCAGGTCAAGGTCGCGAGTCCCACTTCTCTAGAGGGAGACGGGAAAAAACAGGAAAGAGAAATAGAAGGAAGAGTCAGTGGCGAATTGTCAACAGCCGGCCAGCCTCGTGGTCATTCTTTTGAACGAAGAAAATCAAATGCGGAAATTCAGCGGCCGACAGTCATCCATTTCTCGATCGATTGATAGGGCCTTTAGGTCCTGTTCTGCACCACTGCCATTGGACTACGCCAGGGTCTGCTCCCATGAACCCCATTCTCATTGTCTTCGCAGCTTAACCCCGCTTGACATGCGCTCGCTGTCCGTTCCCTAAACTTCTAGCACCGGTGTTTTGAGTCCTATCGGTTCTTTCGAAGGTTAATTCTTGTATCGAAGAGGCGAAAAAGGGGGTGAGAACAAAGAAAAGTTTTTCCTCGATAATAATAAGCGGGTATTCAGGTGAATGCTGCGTGTGTGTACACACGGAGAATCTGGGATTATGTTCGAGAAGAAAAATGAGTCGTGATCAAGGGAAGTGGATGCTGCAAGGAGAAATTTATCTATGATACAGTCTGCTGCAATCCCCTTTGCCTTGTGCAGACTATCACCTCACTCTTCTAAAACGGATCTACCTAAGAAATTGCAAATATAGAAAAGAAAAAGAACAAAATTAGATTCGACTCGCTTCCAGAGCGGCGGTGGGGTTCATGGCATCAAAATAGGCATGATGCACTTGGGTAAAAGATGTCGTGCACCATGGATGTGGCCCAAAAGGTCATGGCAATACATAGGCCTCGGCAAATATTTAATTTTAGATTCTTTCTTCTCTCCTTTTGAATTTTTCATTTTTGAAACTATATCCTCGCCTATTTCTTTATTCTTTTATTCTCCATCTTTACACGCCCCGTCCTTAATGCCCCTTTTGACCGCTTAGAAAAAGGTGCAGCGAGCAGCAATGAACTAGAAGCGGCAGGAGCCAGTGTGGAAGCGGGCACTAGCAGGAGCCGGGACAGGGAAGCGAGCTCCGAAACATCATCCCAGCTTCATCAGCACCACCGATTCTTCTCCGGTAAGTGAAGAGGTTTTCTTGTTTCCCTTTTTTGTTGTCCCCTCTCTTCTTTCTCGCTTGAAGCGTTTTTGTTTGGTTCTGTTTTTCACCGTTTGAGTTAAGATCTGCGAGGATTTGGTGTGTTGCGAGGTCTTTGGAATATGGTTTTACTCTGCTTCTGCGATGGAAAAGGATAACATAAAATCGGGGGGGCATTTTTGTCTCGTACTAGAGGGATAAAAACATAATCTTGGCCATAGATATCTGATCCTGTAAGGATCGGTTGATCTCTTAATCCTGCTGCTATATCCATCATATTCTGATGCGACCCTTTTTCCGCCTACTGCTTTCTGTCTCAACAGCGAGAGCATCAGAGAGGTTGAACCGAGGAAAGGGTGGTTGAGTTTTGGGATTTATGTCGGCTGGTTTTGAGTTGGGATTTACCGGGGCCCTCCTTCAGCACTCTTTTTCTTCATCGACACCTTCTTGTTCGGCCTATGATCTGTTCGTAACTGCTGCTTGCTGCACGCTCTGCTGCTTCTGGCAGAGGTTGAATCTGGTCTCGTCCTCTGTTTCCATGCGGTTGAGACCAAAACGGTATGTGAGTTCTTGTTATCTTTGTTTGTGAATTTATGCAAGTTTCATGTTATAGTTTTGTTGATTAATGTTGATTTTTGGTTTTAATCTGAAGTTGGGTTTTGGGTGGGTTTTTGCAGGAGTTGTTCTGGAGAGGAGTGTTTTGGAGGGTTTCACATAAAGCCATTTTCCAATCCGTTCTTGTTCTTGATGGTTGTTCTTACTTAAACAACTAGAAACCTTTGTCATCTTGAGAGAAGCACCTGCTTCCCTGTTATTTAAATTGAAGATTTTGCTGGTGTGGACACTCGACGGGTTCTTGTCAAGGGTTTTAGCATTTTCCTCTGCAAATGTCTGGGCACTGTCAACTGTTTGACAGAAGTTCTTCCCTCAAGAAAGTGAAAGATTCCAGAATGGTGAGGAAGGTCCGGGTGTTCTGTAGAGATCCCGATGCCACCGATCTATCGTCCAGTGAGGACGAATCGGATAAAATTGATGAGAAGCTCTTTGTTCGCCTCATCGATCTTCCGCTTCCTGTTTTGCACCCTACTGTTATCGACACTGAAAGTTCGTCTCAAGATACCATTAATGATGTCAAGAACCGTCATAAGAAGAGAAAGCTAAGTGAGAAAAGTGATTTAATCTCAAGGAGAAGACCGACAGATTTACGGTATAAGGGGGTCAGGCAAAGGAAATGGGGCAAATGGGCTGCGGAGATCAGGGACCCATTTCGCCGGGGAACTCGAATTTGGTTGGGCACTTACAATACTCCCGAGGAGGCTGCTAAGGCTTATGAGGCTAAGAAGCTTGAGTTTGAAGCTACAGCCAAGGCCTCCTCTGATGAGAAGCAGACAAGAACCTCCTCTTCAGAGGTCTCTCTGTCGATGAACAAACCTATCGCTTCAGAAAATTCGGAGAGTGCATCCTCACGCACCTCCCCATCATCCGTCCTCGACTCAGGCACGTCAGCCTCTAATGCTTCTGAAAGCTGTGATGTTTCGACCAAGAGAAGCGTTGCTATTGATCCCAAGCAGCAACTGCCCGCCCAGATTGAATGTCTGGAGGAGATTTTGATGCCCGGTCAAGTCGTGCAGGACTTCAGCTTGGGAAACGACTTTGATATGCTGTTCATGGATGACTTTGGGCAGCTCGTGGATGATTTCTGTGGAACAGATGACTGCCAAATGTTCGGATTTGGAAATGAGATGAGTGAGCTTCCTGATTTCGACTTTGACATTGGAAACGACGAATTCGGTCTTTGGATGGAAGAGCGACCTATTAATATTGCCTGCACCTAAGTTTTGTAGCTAGGAATCATCGATATCATCGAATGTTAGTCTTTTAGAATATGCTTGGGGCTCTCTCTAATTTGAGCTCTTGAGAGGAGTGTCTTTTTTCTGTCGATGAGTTTAGTTTAATTTGTTTGTGGAGTCTTAGAGAGAGATGAGAAGGATGAAAGCATTTTTGGAAGGTGAGGATCCTTTGGGTTTTCTTGTGCCATTAGAGCCGTCCAAAGGTTAATGCAAAGTTTTAAAGTTGTTGCTCTTCGTCCTAGCAATGTCTTGTATGCTGTACTGTGATTCCCTTGTTTTAATGAAGAAGGGTTTTTGCGCTCTTCCTTAGTAGATAATGAGACGGGGGTGCTTTTAAGGGATCCTAGAAAAAGTGATTCCAATCTCTCGTGTGCAAAAAAACAAGAGCAAATAGCGTCTGTTAAAGGTAAAACTTTTAAGGTTGCGTGTTGCGAATGTACAAGTGTTACGGCAAACATCAAGGAGTTTCTGCTTGTTACGGATCCGTTTCTCGATGGACCATAGGAACTGTAGGTGGTCTTTGCTTTGTTTTCAATTTTTTTGGTGACAATTGAGGGATATCAGATGATCTTTGTTATTTCCTTTGTTAGAAGTCCTATTAAATTCTTTGGTTGACGATGAGAGAACAGTAGAAGATGGGCACATCTGGTTCTGGCACTTTTTATTGGGGATTATCCGGTGGTTGGGGAATGAAAACGACAAGTTCCTACTTCCTTTGATACCATTGTGTGATCCACCATGTGCCCTGCTTGCTTCCTGCCAAAGATCTGTAAGCGAGGCCGAGTCAAACAGAGAAGGTGGACGAGTGCTGTCTCCACTAGCGCTGGTGCTTGTGCTGATGCTGGTGTTGGGCTAGTGCTTGACTTTTCCTTGACAAGAAACCCCAAAACTGAGGTTTTCAACAGCGACTGGTATGCCTCGTCACATATTCCCAACAGGCAACCTAGATTACTGTGTTAATGCTCCTTTTTTATTTTGGCCAAATTGCACATTGGAAGAGTGAAGTCAACAGTCTTTGGTCCCCCCAGAAACCATGCATTCACACGCATTTTTGAAGATGAGATGCAACCTTGATTGGTATGTCCAGCAAAGTCTAAGACTTGATTGGTATGTCCAGCAAAGTCTAAGACGCCCATGATAACCATTCTGTTTTTTCTGTTTTTCTTTTTTTTTATTTTCGGGAACAAGTTTGAAACAGAAATCCGTTTGGTAATGAAATTTCATTTTTCTATTTCCGAAATAAATTTCTACTCCAGAAATAGGTTTGGAACATAAATCAGAAATAAAATTTTTCTATTTTTCTATTTCTAGAAAAGAAATGAGAAATAAAAACTCTTCTCATCGCTTACTCTTACAACTAGCCAGTCGCCCACCCGCCGCCCGTTGTCACCACCGGCCCCCTTCCGCCGCCGTCCGTTGCCGTCTTTCGTTGACGCAGGTTGCCTCCCACCATCGGCCACCGCAGTCCTCCGCCACCCACCTCCTACTATCCTCTGCCAGCCACCATCTACTGTCTTTTGCCACCGCCCGATGCCGGCCGCCTCTTGTTGTCGGCCGGCGTTCGCCGCAACCCGACGTCAACCACCTCTTGCTCGCCCCCCACTGCCTGCTCGCCGGCAGCTCGGGAGTGAGAAATTTTGTGCCGTTATCATGCGAATTTCTATTTTAAGAATATAAATTTTGTGTCGTTATCAAACGCGTATTTTTGCTTAGAAACTTGTCCACGGAATAGAAATAGATAAATCTACTTTTGACCATAAATTGATTCCTGGAACATAATAGTTATCATTTGCGCCCTAAATGTACAAGCATTTCGGTGCATTTTCGGAACAACTTTACTCCTCTCTCTGCATTCACCATCCGAATTGGCTTTCATTCAATGCCGAGCCCCCAAAAATTTGCAATTGATAAACAGTTTCCTGGGTAAAAAGATAAAGCTACTTTTTTCATTTTTCATTTTTTTTTTGGTTAGGCAATCGGCCGACTATATTTAGGGCCCGTTTGGTAACGTGCCAAACAGTGAAAATTTCTGTTCTTTTGTTCCCAAAAATAGTTTGGGAACAGAAATGCGTTTGGTAAACTTTTTGTTCCCGAGCACATTTTTGCAAAAATTTGTGCCGAGAAACAGTTTTGGAAGAGAAACAAGAAGTAAAAAAAATTGCTTCTTGTTTCTCGGCACAATTTTGAGAATAAGTTTTTTTTCTTTTTTTTCTTTTCTTATTTTTGTGTTGTTCTTCCCTGGGCTGGGCCGGCCGCCGGCGACCGGCCACAGCCCAGGGCCGGCGAGGGCGTCACGGCCCTCGTCGGCCGCCGGCGGAGGCGAGGGTCGCCCTCGCCGGCGAGGGCGAGGCGCCCTTGCCCGGACGGGGCGAGGCCGAGCCTCGCCGTTGGTCGCGACGGCGAGGTCGGCCTCGCCCGAGACGGCGAGGCTCTGGCCGCCCGGATTTGGCGAGACCGAGCCTCGCCGTCTCCGGGCGAGGCCGCCTCTCCCGAGCGGCGAGGGTCCGGCCCTCGCCCTCGCCGGCGAAGGCGACCCTCGCCTCCGCCGGCGGCCGGCGAGGGCCGTGACGCCCTCGCGGGCCTCGGGCCGTGGCCGGTCGCCGGCGACCGACCATGGCCAAAGAAGAAAATGGTAGAAAGAAAAAAAAAAATTAAACAATTCAAAATATTATTAAAATATTATTTGGGAACAGAAATTTTGTGTAGTTACCAAACGCATTTCTGTTCTTTTCTACTCTAGGAATAGAAATTTTGGACAGTTTATCATACGCCTTCAAATACTCAGAAATTGTTTCCGGGCACAGAATAAAAAAAAATCATTTCTGTTCAGAAATAGTTCCCGGGCACAGAATGGTATTCATGCGCACCCTTAGACAGCGGGGAGAGCAGTGGAGAGTGGCGACTAACTATAGTTAGATAGCGGAGAGTAGTGGAGAGTGGGATTGATATGTCCAACAAGTCTAGGTGTACAAGCATTTCTGTGCATTTTGGAACAACTTTGCTCTTCTCTCTGAATTTACCATCCGAATTGGCTTTCATTCAAAATCGAGCCCCTAAAAATTTGCAAATGATAAAACAGTTTCCTAGGTAAAAAGATACAGTTACTTCTTAATTTTTCAATTTTTTTTGGGTTTGGCAATCTGACTGACTACATTTAGATAGCGGAGAGTTGTGAAGAGTGGCGATTGACGGCGGTTCTCACTTTTAAATACTGAATGACGAAAGTTGCCCGTGGATTCATTGGACATTAGCTCGACTCATTGTCATAACTTGATATTGAGGTGATTTAGTTGGAGAGACCAAAAGAGGAATTTCTTCCTTGCAGAATAACAGAGAAGTATGGATGTTGAGCTTTCTGGGCAGATCCTTCATACTTGTCGGGCCTTTGACCCGTCCAATCAGGCCCATACATGTTACACGACCCATGACTTGTTGGGTTATAAGGCACTCTACGGGCCCAATCATCCATCTCGTTGTCTTCGGACCAGATTATTCATCTTTATTAGTTGTTGCATTGGCATTGAAGCCAGGTTTAGCAGCATGGACTCGCTAAGCAAAGATAACACCGTCTATGTAAGATACACCACGCGGGCGATATCGGTATGGCATCGACCATTCGATCATAGAAAGTAAAGTGTTTTCGTTTGTCGTGATTTTTTGGATCATATTGTTAGGAATACCTAATTAGATGAGTGACATCACATCAGCATGTCATGCGATATAAGCGTTACACATCAGATCTCCCTTGAGAGAAGTATTCTTTATATGTTGTAACGAGATAAACTCTTTCGCCCAGCCCTATTTTTAGTGAAACTAGGCCAGGCAGAAGGGTTGAACTTCGAAGTTTGTAGTTCTCAGGCAATATTGAATTACAAAAGGTGATGGGGACTTCCGCATTTCACCACCATTTAGCAACATAGATTTAGACATCGCACATCGCATCTGTTATGACATTACTCGCTTTAATATGGTCATGTTAAGTTCCTCAACGGGAGAACGAAACTAATGCGCGAGGGATCAAATATAATATGGAAGGATTTGTGCTTGGTTGCTACTATATAAATAGCAAAAGAACGGTCAAGTCTTTTCCAAACGCAAAACCCTCTTGATAGAAATCGATAAACTTCTCTCTCTCTCTTGCATTGACTAAGTGAAAACTGTGGCAATAGGAAAAGCGCAACTTTGTCCTAAAAAGATGAACAGAGAAGAGGGTATGTCTCACTGTGGACAGTTTATGTCGTCTGGTTGGATGGGAACTAAGCTTATCTATAACTTAAAAGTCAGCATCTGAGGATGACCAAATGTCCTGTGATCAGACGTCATATTGGTTGTCCCAATCCCTAACCATTAGGACTAATACACAGTAGGAGTGAGTGATTCCAGGTTCCTAACAGGTTCTACTTGAAACCTTGAACCTACCATCGGATATAAGTTTCTCATTTTTTGAAACTTAAAACCTACCCGTTAGAATTTGGAACTTGGAATTTACTCGTCACAAGTTCCAAGGTAAATTCCAGGGTCTAACATGATCTTTTTTTTTTTTTTTTCATTTTTAGTTAAACAAAATGAAAATGAATGCAACAACACTGAATAGGCTTGTCATTCACTAAAGAGAATATAAAAGACTAGTTTTCTTGATTTTACGGTTCAAATAAATACAATTAAAATGAGAAGTCATTGCGTGAATCGATACAAGAGGTAAGCGGTTCCATGTTCCGCACAAATTTCACCTGAAACCTATCCATGAGAATAAGTTCCTCATTTATTGGAACCTGGAATCTACTCTATCACAGGTTCCACGTCGATTCTAGGGTCTACCCAGGTTCTACTTGTATTATTAACTGAATAATTATAGTGAATCATCAGCTTTAATGACCACCACTTGCTACTATGATCCACTGACAACAACTTATATTTAAACACACGAAGAATATGAAACATTAACGAGTCATAAAATGAAAGTTCAGATTAGTGGTTCTAGATTATGTACTTATCATCTAACACTATGAAACACCGCAAGATCACGCGAAGGTATAGATCAAGAAAAAACATAAAAAACTTATTTAATTTTCAGGTTCCAGGTTCCACCTACCTAGAACCTGAAACCTACCCGTCGATACAGGTTTTCTAATTTTTGGAACCTGAAATCTACCTTACATACCTTGGAACCTGGAACCTCTAGGTTCCCACCGGTCAGGTTCTCAGATGTTAGGTTCTATCCTGGAACCATGCATACTCTTAATACACAGTCTCACATCCTATAGACCCTACCAGTTTTGGTATGAGCTGTTGGCACGTCGGGATTTGCAGGATACAAATACAAGCCTCTACGTTGAAAATGAGTCACTTCTCTTTCTTTCTCCTTCCTTATATTTACTTGAGAAAGAATGACAAAACACGATTAATTTCGAATCCCAATTTCATACCCTAATGGTTAATACCACAAAAAATCCCAAACTGATATATTTTTTTTTTGGTAAGGTATCCGATGGTAGGTTCAAGGTTTCAGGTAGAACCTGTTAGGAATCTGGAACCACTCACCCATACTGTGTCAAAACTGATATATTTATGACAAGTTTATCCTAAATTAATTTTTTGACCACCAAAAACCCCAAATTGGTACACCTGTGACAAATTACCCAAAACTAATTTTTTGATCACAAAAAATCATAAATTGGTACACTTGTGACAAATTTACCTTCTTTTAAATTAGATTAATATCACGAAAAATCATAAATTGGTAAATCTGTGATAAACAGATGGGTAAAACCCTAAATTGGTACACCCATCAACTGTCACGTGTCATCCAACTTAGTAATTTAGCGATAAAATTTAATGGAAACTAATTGAGGGTAAATCTATCACAGATACACTAGTTTGGAGTTTTTTGCAGTCAAAAAATTAGTTTGGAGTAAATATGTCATAATTGTATCAATTTATGATTTTTTGTGGTATTAATCCTACCATGATATATGCTTTGGTAGGAAGATATTACTACTGAAGGGGGCTCTCTTTCAATCAACATGATGAAAAGATTTGGTGCAAAACTTATAAGATTGACCAGTTCCAATAGCACTCTGTCGCGAACCGGACTTGGTGAGTCTAAAACCCACGCAAGAATTTTCACTTCGAGTAACGACTACTAATGGGATCATAACCCTTAGCTCTGTCTATAAATCTCGTGGTTAGGTGCTTCGATTCTCTGCGTCATATCTGTTTGATTCTGAGACCCACGCTCGAGGGACGTTTTTGCGACAAGATCATCAAAAGCACTTGACTAACCGAAGTTCAATCCCTCTTCGTTACGAGGAGATCACCAAGAGCTGAGTGTAAATGCGAATTCGTACATTTTAATGTATAAATCTAGCAAGTTGGTCCTAGTTTCTCTAATTAAAAAGTTTAAGCGATTGACATGTAAACGAATTATTTAAAGGTTCTTCAATATTTGATTGTTGAACATCACACTTTCTTACACTAACCTAATCCTCACAAACAAAACTAAGAATTTGTCTTTGCAATCTCCAGTGGTCTTGATTGGAGGTTACCTCGGTGATGAAATGCAAGTACAACGACAGATACAACAGAAACACCTACGTATTTATTTTTCGAACGCAGGAGAGTAATGGACTCAATAGTCCTAAGTCATCAATAATTTAATCTTTTCAAGTCATCTTTCCTATCTTTGATTTCCGTACTCCTTACCACCATATTTTCTCATCATTCCCCTCCCCAATCTTTCTCTGCTGTTTGCGAAACAAATCGCAGAAGATCAAAGAGTTCGTCACCAACTTTTCAAAGTCACAACTAGTCCACTCCAAGTACATTGTCATCCTTCTCATGCCAATCATGGTTGGTGTTCCCATTCAAGCTTGGTCGCTCTCTCAATCTCGACCGTGTTCGAATGCTGTGCTTCATTTTCTTCACGATCTACATCGTCGCAACCCTTTATTTCAGGTCCAAGCGGAGGACGATCTTACCCGGTGGACCGCTCGACGTGCTCGTGCCACAAGCCGCCTGTGGCGTGCCACGTCCCTTCGTCACCTTTGTGGAGCACTCCAGGCTCATTCTCCAGACAAGCGCAAAATTTTGGTCACTAGAAGCTTAGCCATGGCTAACACTATTGATCATCAAGGCTTCGTTTGTCTTGCAAAAAATGAATGATTTGTGGATTCGAGTAAGTCCTAAAACTATTTCGTTTGGACTTTGGAACGTTAAATTCGGAGGTGTTCCCTAAGGTGAGTGAAGAAAAACATTCCCCCAACTCGGGGAGCTGGGCGTGCGGGTATCAACATGTTAAAATAAAGAACGCAATCCTATCAGTCCGCCAGGTGTATACACTTGGACAGGCGGGGTGGCCCTAGTCGGAGGCTTTTGCTTCCCTTGCTATGGTGAGGTGCCCTAAGTAACTACAGCTAACACTTTCAACCACCAAAGCTCTGTTCGTTTTGCAGAAAATGAATGATTTGGAATATATTTTCCTTAAAATTATCGCTTGAAATAATTAGTCAATAAAAAATATTTGCATTATCGATGACAATTTATGTCTGAATATTTTCATGGATAATGAAATATTTTTCCTTTATTTATTTTTGTAAACTATACAAGTAATCATTTTTAGGAAAATATTTTCTAAATCATTTATTTTTCGCAAAACAAACATAACCCAAATACTCAAATTTGCGTCCTAAAGAGGGTTTGTTATCAGAACCCAACGCCCCCTTGTTTTTTAACTCTCATCCAGTACGTGTTTCACACAATCAACAAAAGAGAAATCCGCAGCGTCACGGCACTTCGTTCGTCTTCTCTTCGACCCGTGGAAATCATCAAAATCTATAGCCTAAATCCATACCCTTGAAGGCCGTCTAAGGGAGGAGAAAGAGAGGAAGACCGAGTCTCAGATTTCTTACGGCTTAGTTCGTATTCGATCGATTGAAAAACGGTGACTTACTAAACCAGATATCTGATGTCAAGTCAAATTCGTACTTCTTAGCATTATTTTTTGACCTTTTTACAGTTTCTTTGTCATTTCCTTTTCTCTTGGATTGCTTTATTTAATTCCTAGATTTTGGTTGTGACAGTATCTGTCTGTTTTGCTAAAGCAGAAATATTCAGTGGTTTGAACATACAGAAATTTTAGGGAGAGTGTCCTCTCTGTGCGCCTCCGCGTTTTCTTGTCTAGTGGGTACCGAGACTCCCCTTTTGTGTTTATGTTTTCATCATCTAACGTTCCAACAACGTTATGGATTGTCACACGCTTGAGCAAGAACACGCTTGTTTTCCCGTCACTGTTAGAATTAAGTGTGCAAACACATCGAAATAAAAAGTAAATGGATAAAAAGAAATTAAGATATAAGGTTTATCCTAATTCACCTTTAATTAATTTGGGATTACATTTAGTAGAAAATTCAATTATAATTATTAATTATCACCTCCTATCTTTCTGTTATAATTTTCAATCACAAGAGATTGAAATTATATATAAACGGTATAGGCAAACCCTAAAGGTCAAGAATACCCTAGGCCACCACCAAGGCGTTGACCCGGAGGTGCTACCCTCTGCAACCCCTATTGAGGTGGCCTCTCAGAATCCCGCCTGCTCCCGGGAGAGCTTGACTCCCGTACCTTTCTGTCGATGGTGGTATGGATTACACCCGGACATTTACATTCGCTCACGATTCAGCCGCACACTAGCTTCTCCTCACTATCTATTTCAACTCCGAACATCTCTCCTCCAAGAAATGGTGGAGTATGTAAAAAAGTGCCTGCGAGTGAATCTGCAGTTGCACCAAGAGACCTCAGAAGTTCCCAAACTTCTCGGTTAATGTCCACAGTGCATGGACAGCACGTGTCCTCCACACTCCTCCACCGCCGTGCCCTTCTTCTAAGTGCACCCCTAGCCCACTGCCACACCACACTCTGAATCAGATGCATCATGACAGGTTCTCGAGATAAGCAGAGCGTTGTCATGTGATAAGTGGTAATGGATCGTTTGAGTTTCTGCGTAATCGATGTGCCTTAGTAATCCCCATTTTTCAGGGGACAGTAATCACAACACCACAGGAAGAAAATGTCAAAAAAATGAATTTCTAGGGCTCGCTGATGAAAAAAATATCAAAAAAATGAATTTCTAGGGCTCGCTGGTGATGCTTGTTCTGTATCTCCTCGGTCAAGTTCTAGGTCAAGTTCTAGGTATTAAAAATATGTCTCGATCTGACAATGAAATCTGGATATAAGCATCACGCCCTGGTCACACAACGATATACCTCTGCTCGGTGTCTTAGTCTCATCATATATTATGTGCTAATACATACACATCAAAATCTGTCGCCTCACCACAGAGATCAAAGCAACGGAACAATTGGAACAGCGAAACCGAAACTCGATGACGAATTGAACTAAAAATGGCGACAAAAGGATGAGGCTAAAAAAAGAAAGAAAAGAAGAAGAAAATCCATAAGCGCATGTACTCCGAATCTATACCCAGATGGAAATGCTGTGTACTCCTCGGTCTCAAAACTGCTCGTCTCACTACCCACCACTCAGATCAACGCCAACCGAACTCGGGGCTCGCTTGGATGGGACGACGGTTTGACGCCTAGACTCAGCTCCAACCGGAGTTGGCTCTCCGGTCTCTCCTCTGCCGGCCTGTCGAATTTCAGCATCCGGTTCGGCTTGCCCAGGTTTGCCAGTGAAGCCTCCACGGTCTCCACCGAGAAGATGCACTCAGCCTCCGCGCTGTCCCGGTTCGCCGCAGCTACCGCCGCGTGCGTCACCCATGAGTCGTGGCTCGTCTCCTCGTAGATGGGGCCTGGGTAGATCCACTTGCCCCCTTCACTGCCGAACACCGCGTCGGGCTCCGTCTCCGACTTGGCCCGATTCGACAATCGCTTGAACCGGTTCCTGGTCCTGATCTTGTGGACGTCGCCGGGGCCGGATGTCTTCTGGACGTGGCGGATGTCGCAGGGCTTGAGGTTGGGCCCTGCGGAGTCGAGCGAAGGAGATTGCAAGAACCGAGAGGAGCCCTGGAGCACCGCCTCGACGGCCGACTGGCACTCGGCCCAATTGCCCGACCAGAGCAGCCCCACCGAGCCATAGATCGGGTTGACGATCCGGCCGCAGGCCTCGTACAGCAACGACCTGAACACGGCTGTCCAAGAAGGAGACGCTCTCAGAAACCCTCAGACAGCGGCAAACGCGAACACATTTACCAAACGCATCTTCTCATTCCCTTCACACGATAACTCAAACCTGAATCATTTCCTCTTCTTTTCAGAGCAGAAGGATTTGAATACCTGGGCGTTGGTGGTTAGGGCCAGCGTTGATGAGGTTGATCAGTCCGGCGCGGCCGTAGAATTTGGCGAGGAACATGGTGGCGTGAGCCTGCGACTCCGGGGATTTGATCCACTGGAGGCAAGGCCTGATGGTGCAATCCTCGCCGCAGCCTTTCCGGAGGACTCTGCACCCGTTGCAGCTCATTCTCATTCTCCTTTTCAAAGTTTGAGAGAGGGACAGAGAGTTCGGACGCATGTGAGGAAGGAGGAGGAGAAGGAGAAGAGGGGGGCTATTTATCAGCAAGGAGGGGTTTGGTGAAAAAGATGGGAAGGAGGATGCAGCTGGTTTCATGTTTGACAAAAAAAATAAAAATTTCTTGGTCAAAAAATAAAAAGAATATGCCATGACTCAGATATTACTAAAATCGATTTTCTCGAAATTAATTTACAAAATGATACGACAAATTTTTATTTTTAGGGTAGTTCAGCGATAAAAGATACGGAGTATTTACTATAGGATGAACAGTAAATAATTGCTCGTAATTCGAAGCATCATTTTGTAAATTAATCTTTCACATGTTTAGCATTATTCATGAAGGAAAAGATTAAATACACCCAAGTGTGTCTCAACTGTGCTCGTTTTTGTTTAGTGAGCTGGTCCTCCCCACCAAGTTTCCTCATGCGACCTTATGGGTCGCGAAAATTCGGGCGGTAAACTCGTTAATCTCTAGTGTCTTTTTTCCTTTTTATCCGATCCTTTGACAATCAATAATACTAGAGATGCAAAGACTAATAAATGACCGTATCCGATTTTCTTGATTGAGTTATGACTTGTCTACTTGACAACTCACTTTATTATCGTCTCCTTTTTTCTTTGATTGATTAATAATACTATTAGAATTATGTAGAGGCTGTATGCAACGTCTCAAACTCCTAATAAGTGCTTAAAAATGATATATAAATATGTTTTGGGTACTGATCTCAATATTCTCGGCATTAGTCTTCATCAAAAGCGAGTCACACCTTGTTAAAAAAATCTGGAGTGCACGGACACTTGTAAATATTATCGACATAAACGATAACATGGCCTTCCAAATTTATTACTTGACGAATTAAAAAGAGAAAATTCCAAAGGCCCTTGTTCTCTCAAAAAATGGTCCAAAGTAGATATTTTTTCAAATAAAAGCTTGAAGTTGCCATATTAGTCTAAAAAAAGGGTCTATCCTTGCCGGCCAGCCAAATCTTCCGACTGATCATTGGGCATTTTCGTGCAAAGATAAGTTTTTTTCTTCTTTCTGTTCTCCCCTGTTCATCTTCTTCTTTGTCGCCAGATTAGGGATTGAGTAGTGTTGCCTTTTCATCCCCAAAGCAGTGACGAACGGAGCGCGCACACCTCCACTCCCTCCAGTGGCGGATCCCTCCCCTCAAAACACCCTGGACAAAGACCCTGGCGACGACAACGGCTGCCTCAAACATGCCAAACTCTTCTCCGGCGTGCACACTTCTCACAAGGACCCTGGCGACTCGGCTAGCTTAGATGCGGCCAGCGAGTCGCCTCGATGGACCGCTGTCGTGACAAGCTTCAAGTTGCTCTCGGAGTCGATGCTGAGGATCAAGCTTGTCGAGGTGGAGATGGCGAAGGCCAGGGAGGCCTTGAGGCTAGAGGCAGAGTGAAGGCGCGCTGAGCTGGAGGGCGAGATGACTTGGATGCTCTGTCTCCTAAAAAACCTTGCAATCGAGCAAGAAACTTGTCACTGAAGATCGTTCAATTTAAGCATGCGACGAACAAGAAGATGAATAGGAAGAAGAAAAAGAAATATCAACAAACTGTCTGCGAACGAAAATGCATTTGACCAGCCAGAATTTTTGGCCAACCGGCAAGGTCATGCCATTATTTGAAACTGTCACATTCACTTCAAGCCTTTATTTGAAATAATGTCAACTCTGAACCCTCTTTTGAGAAAATGAAATTACTTCAAACCTTTATATGAAATTTTCCCAATTAAAAATGGTAATTGGCATGTCCGAAATTTATTACTAGAGCTACCCTGCATGCACGACTATAATCACGATTCCACCAAAATGTCATTTTGGTTGCGAACCAAGAAGAAGTGTTTGTACACGTTGCCCTCTTCTATCGAATGGAGTCGACTCAATTCCAAAAATCATGTACGACATACACGGCATCTTATATGAGTAGGTACTTGAATTTCGCATGCTTAGTTATAGATTTTAATCGATTTTGTCCATCATAAAGGACCAACAACTCGTGTACATGTGTCATAACCGGATTTTCTAGTCATGTCACTTAAAAACACTATACCATAATTGATTATGCTATAGAAATTATGTATATTAAATTCGTGCCAATTTGTGTCCCTTTTGACTTTGCATATAATCGTGTATAAAAATGTTAGTTCATATCAGAAATTGCTAGCTTATAACCTGAATTATTCAAAATTAAAAACGATCCCTTTTGCTATAAAAAAAACCGGATGAAGGGCCAAAAAGCATTGTCAGGCACTCATTGTTATCTTGAATAAGGTTAGCATCTTTCTAATGGAAGCCAAACCCACACGGTATGCTAAGTTTAAGAGATTCATCCACAGAAAAGTAGGACAATAGTTTTCTCATCCTTGACCGGAGAAAATTATATCCCATCTGGTTGGTCGATCGGCCACGGATGTGAACCTTACCTACAATAATTCTTAATTAAGTTTGCATGTACATCTTACACATATTTGTTACCCGCCAATCAAAAGCTCGGGGACAGAAGAGAACACCCGCCCGAGCCCATTAAGCGACGACAATGTCAAACGGGACCAATTTCTTCCACAAACTCCTCATGTAATTGCATCTCGAGTTACCAACATCATCTTCTTTCCACCATTTTCCATCCCAAACGCATGGAAAGAGCGGGGAAATCGCATGGATCAGCTTCATCTTTAGTTCCCAATTTCTTCTCCATCTGACTTGTGGAACAGTTGAGTTGAAATATAATAATGACGAGGGGAAGCACGTTGGGAAGAATACAGTGGGAATCTAGTGGGCTCGATAGTTTTTTCAGAAGGCGCGTGGCCAGCACAAGGCCCTATATTTTTTACATACTGTGGGGGATCGCTACATTATTTCCCCTTATTATACTGTATTCTCTCCTATCTCGAGCGCTGGAATCGTACCCAATTGAAATTCCTGGTTTTCAGGAGTTCCCATCCCATACACAACCCCATCTCAATAATTAGGGAAATTATCCAGCTCGCAGCGTCGATTTATGCTTCGTTTCGATAAAACTCGAAAAATATTACATCAAAAGAGAGCGTGAATATCTATGATAATCAATATATATATATATATATATATATATATATATATATATATGTATGTATGTATAAAAGCTTCGCGTTCAGACCCGTGCGACTATAGCGAAAACGATAATTGAATGTAATCTAGGGTTAGTGGGGCGAGAAAATGGAGCTCTTGGAAACCACTTATTATGGTATTCCATTCATCAGTCTGGGGGCGCCCCATGTAATGCAGCCTGCTGCTTTCTTTCCTGTTATGGCTTTGTTTACTCCAACTTGTGTGGAACCTTACAAAAGGCAATTAGCTAAGCCTTTTGCTTTTTCCCCTCCTCTTTTATTCTTCTTCTTCTTCTTCTGTTTTTTTTTTTCCATTTCTCCTTCTTTTTTTTATTGCCATTTTCGCCAAATTCTTGGTTCTATTCAATGTACTGATACTTTCCTCGTATGTATGCTGACGGCAACCGTGGAAGAAAAAGGCAAATTATATGTCAATTCGGTTCCAAACTTTTCAATTTTGTCAATTTAGTTCTAAAACTTTGCGCGGAACTACAATATAGTCATTTTGGTTAATTTTCGTTGGAAATTGATGATGTGACATATCAGTTATCGCTGGCCATCTTACGTGGCACATCGCTAAATCAGCGATTTTTCGATGTATTGGCCCGAATGATTTAATTGAAATTTCTAGCAAAGGTTTTGGACTAAAGTGGCTAAATGGAAAAATTTAGAACTGAATTAACATCCGTATGATAGATTTATGATCGGTTGAACAATTTCCTGGAAAAATCTCTAATAGTCTTCCTTGGGATCATTGAGTCCTAATTGACATTGCCTACTAATTAAATATGCTCCCAAGTTTCCTCCTTCTATTTTTAAATTCATTTCACGGTTTATAAACAATTATACTTAGCTGTCTCCATCAGTCATTATTTTATTTTATTAAGCCAAGAATTAGCCGAGTTCATTGTACCCATCAATTCATCTAGATGGGTCCTCTCAATACTTCAGCACAAACGAATAATTGATTAGCTGATCTTATATCTCGAATAATAAAACCTGTTCATCATCACCATAGATGACTAAGGCCGATTTTTTCTGTAAACGATGAAAAGCTCCATAAAAAATGCCCTAAATTAGAAAGCTTAAGGTCATAAATCCGTGGTCCAATTGGCGTCCAAAAGAGAGATCTTTCCTGGAACAAGGCTGGGCAACCATATCATAAAATGGATTTTTCTTTTCTTGTTTTTTTTTTGGTTGTGGAAAACTGAAGTCAAAAAAGCAGGAAAAGAAAAAAATAAAGGAAAAAAAATAGTGGTTAGCGAAGACTAAACAAGCTTTCTAGAAGTTATGATTCTTAATTAGTACGACCGCCACAGTGCTAAACACTATCGATGTTTTGTCATAGCTTAACAGCAGTTCTTTGCGTATAATTAAGTTGCTTCAAGATAGACATAACATTGAACTTTTTAGTGTGCATCAAGCTTCATTAATGTACTAGAAAGAAAAAAAAAACCTATGTCAATCTAGTGAAGCCATTGTCTAGCTCAAGACTAAGCTAAAGTTGGACATTTTGTCTAAGGGGCCACTCCCTGTTACATACTATGCACTTATAAAATTAGTAATACAAGGAAAGGCTCGAACGCAATATCGCTCTTTGTCATTATTTCCCCTCAAGTACACCATTCCCATCAATTGGCGTCGAGTTATTTAGACGGACGATAGTATTTTTATAACATGAAAATATGCCCATAGAAGCTCGGAATGGTCCTTATTTTCTTGCAAAACTGGTGGTGGCATGATCATCTGCAGATGGACCGTACATTAAATTATTACGTGCAAATGTCCACTAATTGTCGCCCCTCCAATTTGCTGACTGGAAGGGCACTATTGTCCCGACCTCTAAAGGCCA